TCTCAAACTCCTAACCTCAGGTGATCTACCCTCCTCGGCCTCCCAAAGTGCTGGGATGACAGGCGTGGGCCACCGTGCCTGGCCTGATTATTTAACAATAAATCTTCAGGGAGGCCAAGGTGGGAGGATTGCTTGAGGCCAGGAGTTTGAGACAGTCTGGGCGACATAGCAAGACCCCGTTTCTACAAAAAATAAAAAGAGTTATTCTGGTGTCGTGGTGTGCACCTGTAGTCCCACCTACTCAGGAGGCTGAGGTGGGAGGATTGTTTGAGCCTAGAGGTTGGAGGCTGTTGCGAGCCATGATCACACCACCACACTGCAGACTGGGCAACAGCGTGAGCTCCTCTCTCTAAAAATAAAAATATCAAATAAAAATGAATCTTTTATTTGAGAAAACACAAATGTACAAAACCGAAATTAAAAGGAAGTCATTTGGAGGCATTTTAAAAAGCGAATACGGTATAGAACGCTTACTGTAATAATGTTGGTAGTATTGAAGAAGTGCTTGATCCTTCGAGGGAAACTGGTGAGACCTTGGTTGTTGTCATCAGAAGAAACAGAAACCTTCTGTTTGACGATAACGTTGAGAAAAACTGAAAATGTTACCAAAGGCTTACGGTATCTTGTAGCAAGGCCCTGGTGTGAGCCATTTCGGGAAGTTCTGTTAAATTGCCCATGATGAGTTCATTTCCCTGCTACATACACTATCTCAGAGCCTAGAAAAAGATGAATATGCTCACTTATCTTGAGAAACTGTCACAATCTTGATACCCAAACTTGACTTACAGGTTTGATTGTATTTACGTATGGATTTAGAAAGCCCTCAAATACAGGATGTGAATAAGGCAACTCTAGCCCTGTAGTAAAGAAATAAATAGTGCTTATTCTATGAAAGCAAAGATAGGTTATTATTTTAAAATCTATTAATGTCATTAATCACATTAATATGTTAGAGAAAGTCAATGGTAAGATCCTCTTAAAACAAAAACTAAACTCATAACAAAAAGAATTCCAGGACAAGCATGGTGGCTTACGCCTGTAATCCTAGCACTTTGGGAAGCTGAAGCAGGCGGATCACTTGAGGTCAGGAGTTCCAGACCAGCCTAACCAACATGGTAAAACCCTGTCTCTACTAAAAAAAAAAAAAAAAATTAGCTGGGTGTGGTGACAGGCACCTGTAATCTCAGCTACTCAGGAGGCTGAGGCAGGAGAATCACTTGAGCCCAGGAGGTAGAGGTTGCAATGAGCCGAGATGGCGCCACTGCACTCCAGTCTGGGCAACTGAGCAAGGGTTGGAAAAAAAAAAAAAAAAAAAACCTGACTATATTAAGGTCCAAAAATATACCAGCAGATTCCCTGTGTTATTTTCACAGCTAGGGGAGGGAATAAAAAAATGCCGTTAAAGCATATAATTGAATTGTTTATGTCACAGAGGATAAATGCTTGAGGGGATGGCTACTGCATTCTCCATCATGTGATTATTGCTTATTGCGTGACTTTATCAAAGTAGACTTAAGATCTACTCAAGAGAAACTTAAACTAGTCCGAAACAACATGGCAGAAATGGTGGGAAGGGTTTAGTGTTGCAGATTGGGTTGAGGTTTTGTAGGACCTTTTATTGTATATTTCACAGTCATGGGGAGAACTGAGGGATGATGCTCTGTAGTGGTCAGGGAGTAGAAGACGAGCAGTGAGCAGTGACCAGGGGTGTGGGTGGTGGGAGATGGCCCTTCACTCAGGCTGTGTGTTACAAGCGTGTTGTGGAGTGATCTCTTTGTAGGGAAACCATGCCAGGAGCTTGCATTTATAGTTTTGAATTAACCATACTCATGAAACGTAACTCTGCTTCCAGGAGCTTATTTTAGGGAAATGAGCAGAGCTGAACAAAAGGATGTAAGGACATAAATGACAGTGCCATATGTAGTGAGGTGGAGTGCTGTTTCTCTTGCCCTCCCCCCGCCCGGATCTTTATGCAACTGTGGTGAAGATGCCATAAATTCCATAAATAACTGGGCTGAAAGCAGAGGGAGATTTGCTGAAAGACGGGTACTTTTTCAGAGAAATAGTTACCTTGAATACTGAGCAGTGAAATCCTACAAATAAATGTAGAGTCCGAGAGAAATGCTAAGAGATATAAAAGGCCCGAGAACTTCAACATCTGTCAAATAGGACAGAAAAAGAAAGAAAGAAAGAGAGAGAGAGAGAGGGAGGGAGGGAGGGAGGAAGGGAAGAAGGAAAGAAGCAAGGAAGGAAGGAAGGAAGGAAGGAAGGAAGGAAGGAAGGAGAGATAAGAAAAATGAAACAGAGAAACAGAAAGAAAGAAAAAGAAAGAAAGAAAGAAAAAGAGAGAGAGAAAGAGAGAAGTAACTACTATTATATTTCAGCTCTGAGAAAAATGTTTAGATTGAGAGTGTTCCAGATATTGAGCAGAGTGAATGAAGAAAGCTCAAACGTAGACACAAAGTGGTAAAATTTCAGAGCAGCAAAAGTGAAGAAAAATCCTAAATGCCTTTCTGTATCAACCTGGTTGAGACAACTGATGTCTCAAAATTCTAGTGCAAGATAACTTTGAAATGAAGGTTCTGTATTCAGTTTTAGTACCATAATTTGAAAGCAAAACAAACACTTTTCAAATATGCAGATGCACAAAAATTTTATCACTCAAAGACCTTTGAGGAAAAAGTTAGTTGATTGACTCCAGCAAAATGGAATGCGAATCCAAGAAAGGTGAGAGTAGCCAAGTGCAGTGACTCATGCCTGTAACCACAGCATTTTGGGAGCCTGAGGTGGGAGGATCACTTGAGTCCAGGAGTTCAAGACCAGCGGGACAACATAGTGAGATCTCGTCTCTACTAAAATTTTTTTTTTAATTGCTGAGTGTAGTGGTGCATGCCTGTAGTCCAAGCTACTCAGGAGGCTGAAGGGGGAGGATCACTTGAGCCCAGGACATTAAAGCTGCAGTGAGCTATGATTCATTACACCACTGCACTCCAGCCTGGGTGACAGAGCAAGACCCTGTCTCAAAATAATAATAATAATAAGAGTACACACAGGAAGCAGTGCTGAATAAGTAAATGTATAAAACACAGTTAAGTCTGAATGTGTTAGTGCATAATTATGAAAATAATCTGGAATTAACATTTCACGTGGGAGGCAATTGAAAGAGCAGCGAAGAAAGAGAGAATGAGCATATGTTCACGTTTTTGTTTCATCTGGGAAGAAGACATAGATAATGACTATCTTTATATTTGATAGAAAATATCAGCTTAGGCAGTTGAAAGGCGGTTACCACCAGAAAACTAGAAAACATTTGTACACGTTTCAGAGCCTTGATGGGAAATGCGTGGATTGAACAAAACCTGATTCACGCAATCAGAGGTGGGTGGGAAAGAATTACACCAAAGAAGTAGAACGTCTGATACATGTAAAAAGGGAAAATAATATGAAACAAAATTGTGGGACTCAATCCAAATATAACAGTGATCATAATAAACATGAATGGATTAAAATTCCTTTTAAAAAAGATAGACTTTCTGAATGGGAAAATAAACATAAAACCCAGACATACAGTAGTGCAGGAAGCAGCTTAATTAAAAACAAGGAAACAAAAAAGTTAAAAATAAATGGATGCATTTGGTATGATTCTTTCCACTATCCAATCTAAGTAATTGTCAATTATTTTATAGACTGCTCTTCAGTTTTTTTTTTTTTTTTTTTTTTTTTTTTTT